AATTTATAAACCATGAGCTCCCTCGAAGCCGAACTCTTCTTCGCCCAAAAGGTGACGTCGCCCACAAAGTCGCCTCTTCGCCGTTGATGCAAGAGAGTGACTGATGGTGCCCAAGGCCGACTCACTGTTGGCGGAGAGGAGGCTGTGCAGGTAGGTTATCCGTTCGTGCCAAAAGGTGCATGCGTGTCTGCGCAGGTTCTGCTCCATGCGTGGTCCTCCGGGCAGGTCGAAGACCATGTGACGTCGGCTCGGGTCGAGTTGCGGTACGGGGCTGAGACTTCGGTAGCCCGTCGGCGACGGGTTTACCGTCTGGCTCGAGTCCTGGCCGCCTTCACCGACGTCAGCCCGACCCGTGGCTGTGGTGGTCCCGAACTCGGGCACATCGCCAACGCCAACGCCTCGGTTCGGGTTCACCGGGTTGGGCCGACTCCGGCGCTGTGCCATCGGTTGGTAGTGCTCCCAGGCGAGGTCACGCTGTCGTGTGTGGTACTCGCCAGGGTGCTGATTCGGTGATCTGGAAAACACGGACACACGACAATCAGAAACCTCGGGGGCTACTCATTATGCCTATAAGTAACTAGATGGGGTGTAAGGAGAAAAGACAATTTCGCCTCGAATAAGTCCGTCTCAGGTGATGAAGAACTCAGTCGAAATTAAGACGGTGGCTCGTTCTAGACCGAATAAGATTCAATTGCATTGAGAGACCTACTCATCTGGACATAGGAAAATTCATAATCACCATCCTCATCACCAATATGAACAGAACCGATAATTTGAGTCATTTCGTGACATCGTGCGAATTGAATTTTCAGTCCGAGGGTAAAAGTTGGTTGAAGGGAATTCGTGAATTGATTGCTCAGGCCACCACCACCACCACCACCATCATTATCATTATCATTAACATCATAACAATTGTCACCACCTCCACCACCATAATCATCATCATCAACATCACCATAATCGTTATCGTCCTTCTCATCATCACCATCACCATAAGCATAATTATAATTATAATCCTCATCGCTACTACCACCACTACAATCATGATAATGATCATCACCAGCATCAGCAGCACTGCTAGCATCACTAGTATCATCGGCATCAGCATTATCAGCACTAGCATCATCATAATCGTCACCACCACCATAAATAAATCACCATCATCATCATGATAATAATCAGCGCGATCAGCACCTTCATCTTCAATATCATCACCATCACCACAGATTCATAGATGTATGCATTAAATCATCAATGTTTTTATTCATACATAAATTCATATACACATCAACACACCCATATATACATATATATGTATACATACATACATACATGCATACATGCATGCATAGAGAGCCTGTTCAATTCAATTACTTGCAGATTTGCAAAAGCATACATACTTAAATATATGCATACATACATTCATGAATATTCCCAAGTATGTTAATTATTATTATTTATTTATTATTGCCCTATCTTCAGTTCAGCGTGGGTCGGCCCTTGGTGGGTGGTGAGCGCCTGAAAGAGGCCTTGAGCACAGCCAGCCTGAATCGGATCAAGGTAGACCTGTGACCTTATCCGATGCTACAGTTGGTTGATGCTGTAGGTGAACTCACCCAGTGGCAGCGAAGTTCGACCAGAACCGCATCACCTGTTCGCTTAGCATGCGTTCTTCAGGCGTGAAGTTGTAGAACTGCTGTTGGAAGGCCTCATTGAAGGGAGCCCCGAACACGTACTCCGCCTCGTAGCCCTGCATGGCTCCGGTCCATTCAGGCCAGGTCCGGGCATTGGTGCGATGCTCAAACGAGAAGACGTAGACCTGATGCAAAAGACAGATTGGTAAAATAGAAGTAGAGGGTGGTGGCTACCTCTCAGATGTTGCCTTCTGCCTTACAGCACACCGTCATTTGAAGGGCCTTGGACGAGAATGGTATATTGAAATAGAGTAATAACTCAACCTATTCATATTATCAAGGCTGCTTCGAACTATTTTTCGAAAATTCCCACAATTTTCAAACATAATCGCCTCGAAAATAGGTTTCTAAACTTTTACCCAAGAACTGTAGTCACCTTGTGTCGTATAAGATGATGAAAGTTAGTTGTGTGCCGAAATGGTACAACACATGACCCGTATTCGAGTCCCGCTGTAGAAGCAGGCAAGTCTCTGTGTTATAGAATAGAGATGTGAGGCCTACTCACGTCATTTTGGACAAATTCAACTTTCCAGCCTTCATATTTTTACGCGAACTTGGATGATCAGAGGTCCAATTTAAGATTTATTGATAATCTCGAAACCTTTTTTCAATAAGTCTTAACATTCAGTTTACCTTGAGCAGGGACTCGAAACATTCTAGGTCATTGAAGAGATGTGTAAAGCCTGAAGGTTGGAAGCCCAGTCTCCAAAAGGGATCATCTAAATGTCTCATTATAACTTTGAATTCGCCATATCCTTATCGCATACAAGGCTCTTTGCATCCTGCCTCTATTTCGGCCAGGTCTTGTTCTGCAATTGTGTACCCCGTCGTGACGTTAGGCAACTCTAAACATATGTGACTATCTTGCCAATCGCTGTCGCGTAACTGCGCAACACAACAAA